TATATTTAGAACAAATATAAATGTAATGAAGATCCTCATGTCTTTAGCGACAGTCACTGACTTATAGGAGGACATTGTAGAAATATACACATATTTTAGAATTTCAGCCTGTTGGTATAATGGCAAGCAAAAGTTTAGTACCATGATTCAGGACTGTACATCAGAAAGAAATGCCCTCTGTAGATTAAGAACAGAGGAAATTTCTCCTATGAGTGAATGAACAGTCTCTCGGCTTTGCTCTAGTTAACCTTTATTTTTGTTCAGATCCATGTTTTAACCTCATGTGTTTGCTATAATACCAATGGGCAATCAACCAGGGCAAAGTGATTTTTCCCAGTCTCTCAGACGATGAGAGATTTAGAAAACAACCCACAGGTCTACTTCTTTACAACACCCTATCGCAACCCTGTGAGTATTTGATTACCATCTTAGGAACTGTCTTCAGAAGATAGAAGAGAGAAAAGATAGCTGATGGGCACAGTGTGAATGTTAAATCCTGTGATGGATGGAGCCTGCTTGTCATTTGACACAGAGCCTGTAACTTGGGGGAACTGTACAATAGCTTCTGTGGTGGTAATTTTCTGTGTGATATTTTCTTTCCATTTGAATTTTGCATAAAGGTTAATACATTTTATTTAAACTTTTCTCTCTGAAACTATTAGCCTCAGCTGCATCACTTTTATTTTTCTCTCTTCTCTCTGGTCAATGACTTGATTAATCACTTTCCTACCTATTTTGAGAAAGCTTATACAGAAAGAGTGCTGGTTTTGTCTCTGGGTTTAAAATGACAGGTGTTTCAAATAAGCACTTTAAAGTTGTAATAAACATGCTTCTTGAGAGGAAATTAGCAACACCTGCCAACAGTTGATAGATCTGCAGGATAAGAATTATTGCTATTTTCATATCATCAAAAATTTCATTTGGATAATCATAATATACAAATATAATAGAAAAATACTGACAATTGAGCCAAAGTAAAATTTATAGTTTATAATACTTAAAAGTTTCTAAAATAAGGCAGTTTATTTCACATTTAATGTATTCAGTGATTCTAGAATAAGAAAAGTTACACACCTATATTCTAAAGTATCTTTTTCCCTTTGTGAAGAAATATTCTATATCCTTAAAATTAGTCTTTGAGCTGTGGTGATAGAATTAAGTGTAGTCTGGTATTTTGCCGACTCATTTTTTAAAACTTTTTTTTATTTCAGATTAATATGAGGGTACAAATAATTAGGTACAAGATTTGCATTTGTTAGGTAGTTTCCCTCTTATAATTGTGTATGGCCCTCAAGAGGTATGCCATATACCCTAACATTGTGCCCGTTAGACAGGAGCACACCAATCCCCTCCCTCCTTCCCTGTCCCCTTCTCCCCAACTTCAATTAAATTGAATTTTTCTCATTTGTGGGCGTGTGTATTTTTTGTTTGTTTGTTAGCCTTTTGTCTTCATCAGACAATGTTCAGTTTATATTGCTTGACCAGTGACAAATGGGTTTATTTGCTCTTTTTGGCAGATTAATTTGAGTTCTCTGTAGATTCTAGTTATCAACCCTTTGTCAGATTTGTAACATACAAACATCTTTTCCCATTCTGAAGGCTGCCTATTTGCTTTAATTGTTGTGTCCATAGTTGTGCTTTTCAGCTTAATTAGATACCACTTATTTATTTTTGTTATTTTAATTGCCAATGAAATCTTTCCCTAGGCTGACATCTTCAAGAGTTTTTCCCATACTTTCTTCTAGGATTTGTATCATTTCATATCTTAGATTTAAATATTTTTATCCATCCTGAGTCAATTTTTGTAAGTGGAGAGATGTGGGTTCAGTTTCAGTCTTTTACATGAGGTCATCCAGTTTTCCCAACTCCACCTACTGAAGAGGGATTCTTTTCCCCAGTGTATGCTCTTGTTTAATTTATCAAATATCAGATGGTGATAGGAGTCTTCTATTCAGTTCCATATGTCTATGTCTCTATATTTGTGCCAGTACAATGCTGTTTTGATCACTGCGGAATTGTAATATAACCTGTAGTCTGGTAGAGTGATGCCTCTGGTTTTGTTTTTATTGCTAAGATTGCCTTGGCCATACAGGTTTTTTTCTGCTTTCATTCATAATGAAGGACTATTTTTTCTAGTTCTTCAAACTATGATGTTGGTATTTTAATGGGACTATATTAAATCTGTGGATTGCTTTGGGAAGTATAGACATTTTAATACTGTTGATTCTTTCCAGGCAAGAGCATGGTATGTTCTTCCATTTGTTAATGTCTTTTTCTGTTTCTCTTCTTAAGGTTTCATAATTCCCTCAGTAAAGATCCTTCATCTCTTTTGTTAGATGTATTTTCAGCTATTTCATTTTCTCTGAAGCTACTGTGAAGGGTATTCTGCCCTTGATTAGCTTCTTGATTTGGCTGCTATTGATGTATCCAAAGGCTATTGATTTGAGGACATTTATTTTGTACCCTGAAATGTTAACTGTATTTCTTGATCACTCCCAGGAGTCTTCTGGTTGAGTCTCTGGGGGTTTCTAAGTTAAGATCATATCATTGGTAAACAGGGTGTGTTTGACCTTCTCTAGCCCCATTTGGGTGCCCTTGACATCCTTCTCTTGCCTAATTGCATGGGCTAAAACTTCCAGAACTATGTTGAATAGTATGGTGATAGACGTTCTTGTCTGGTTCTGGTTCTAAGTGGAAAAGTTTTCAGTTTTACTCCATTCGTTATGATATTGGCTGTGGGTTTCTCATAGATGGCTTCAATCAGCTTAAAGAATGTGCCATCTATGCTTATTTTCTGAAGTATTCTTGTTAGAAAGGATGCTGAATTTTTTCAAATTGCTGACTCTTAATCCCTTATGTAATTATAGATCCCCGCCCCCGAATACTGTCTCAATATCTCTGAGAGTCCCTAGGAGTCTCAAATGGTGCATGAATACGTGTGGTATGTACCTTCCATTAAATGCTACTTTGTCCTCCCATGTACAATCCTCAGAGGACTGGAGCTTGAAAAGTTTGAATGACCTTTCACAGTGAGAAAGAAGCCTTTATCACTACTGTTATTACCCTCTATTTAGTGTTGTTAAAGTGTTTTACAGAATATGCAAAGTTTTTAGTGAAATGGATTTTTAAAATTTTAATGAAGAGTGTGACTTACTCCTTCCCCACCTCTAAACTCAGCTGAGTCCAGTTTCAGAACTGAGCTTGAATAGATGTGAGTGAAAGGAAACAAATTATACTTTCAATAGCTACTCTTCTCTTTCGATCAAGACTTTATTACTGAGTCAAGCTTGTCATGCCTGGATACCTCTTTCTTTTTTGGGAGTTCTGTCTTTAGAGTCTCCATAGTGGCCTACACAGGCCTCTAACTTCTCCTCATACCTGATGGGACCTCAGATATTGGGTCTCTCTCCTACTTTTATAATCTTGGAGTTAAATGATCCTTTCGATTCTTCTGATTTAGAATTGGATTTTGTATTTTATGTAGATAACTAACATAACTGGGAGACAGAACAACTGAAAGGAAGTTTGACTGAGTGGTAAATTCTTTATGAGATTGTTATGATGGCTGTCATTTATAAATGAATGGAAAATGACAAATTGAAGATTTCATATGTGATCTACTAGTTGAAGCCTTTGAATACTTGGGAGCACTTTTGATTGTAAATTTTTCAGTACTGATGACTTTTTAAAGAAAATTTATGAGAATAAAAATGTACTTATAAAATGAAATGATGGTTTGGGGAACTTAAATAGTATTACTTACACATTAAACCACCCAGAACATTTGAAACAACACACACCGGTGTGCAGTAAAGAACATAGAGATGCCAATCAGGAAAGGGAGAAGGAAAATTACTCCTTAAGATTTTTCTCAATCACTCTCATGCCAAAGGATCCAAATACATTCTATATTTTCTTGAGTGCCCCAAAGGCCCTTCCATAAACCTATCGTCTTTAGGCAATACTTCAAGGCTATTGTGTCATCATCCTATTCTATTCTCTGCTCATGTGTTTGCAAACATGTTAGAAATTCCGTTTCCACATGTGTTGGAAAATATTTTAACAAGAAATTCATATCTTTCCTAGGAATGTTTGTTGTGTCATGGCAGACCACAGTTTATGTTAAAAGAGCTGTGATTTTGGAATTTTGAATATTAGGTATTGGTTAATAGGGTGGTATGTGGGCAGAACTAATTGTATTCTCACAATCCATCAAATTACATGAAAATGGAACTCAGTGTGCTTTCTTCTCATGAAATTAATGTTGTTCAGAACACACTGCAGTTGGGGATTGCATGTTTGTAAGAGAAAAATAATATAATGTATTGAGGAAAACAAGCGATTCATAGTTTTGTTCAGTATTTCCCAGTGCTAGATCTTGGGTAAGAATCCATCCATTATCTCGGTAAATAGAGATGTTAATGAGTTAATAACAACTACCTCACTGGGTTTAGTCAAGGAAATGAAATTGGGAAATGTTGTTAAGTTCAGGTCTTTTATGAACTGTCACATGCTACATTAAAAATAAACCAGTCCTGGGAATATAAGGTCATATCCAAACATACATGTGTATACAGAAATTCTATGTTAGGCATAAAGCCACTTGAAAAACTAACATAGTCTTATGACTATTTTTACATAGTCATCTAAAAACTATTTGTATTCTCATTATGGTTTTTATCAGCAGTCTAGGATGGTTTTAGCTTATGCCATTTAAGAGAGAGTTTCATAGGGCTAGATATAAAGAGGAGAGGTATTTTCAATTACTTTAAGACCTCTGTACCCTGGTTGCCTTAGTGTTTCTCTTGGTCAGTAAGCTGGATTTCAAGCCATTTAGATACAGATGAGTCTATTTGGTGCATGTAAATAATGTTATGGTGAAAAAATAGTGGTGCCAAGTGGAAAATCAAAAGATGCAGAAATGACCATAATCTGCATTTTCTTAAGATGCAGATCAAACATTTTTTTGTACTAATATACAACATTGTCATTGATTGTAGATGGGGCACACTGAGAGGAGCACAAGGGCGGAAAGAAAAATTCTGGGTATGTAACTCTTTCCACTTGAATTTCTACTGTGAAGTGGCCACTTTAGAACCTTCTATTCTTCTGCTTCCTGCTTCATTTTGTTTAGCCATATCCTACGTGCCTGTGATATTGCTCATAACATTAGGTTTTCACCAGCAAACAACTGGTTATAATTACTTAAATTATAGTATTAGTTTTCTTCAGCTTCTATTATTTCAAATTCTTTAAAAGAAGAATCAGTATTTTTTTTTTCAAATTAAGAATCAACAGGATGACTTTATGTTCTATTGCCATCTATATTAAATTTGAAGTAATGCTTAGAGAGCCCACATATATGCATCTATGTCAATTAACGTGATGTTTGTTAACGTTAGTATCATATATATATTCTATCTCTATATAAAATCATATCATATATATTCTATCTATATAAAAATATCATATATATTCTATCTATATAAAAATCTATCTATCTATCTATCTATCTATAGATAGATAGATAGATTATTTTCTTAGAGGTTCTAGATTTTTTTCTTAGAGTTTAAGATTTTTCCTGTTTTCCAGTTGTAACATACCATGTGTCTTTATGAAGAATGAGCCGATATCTAGTCTCAAAAATTACAAAAACAAATCTGAATTAAAATTCAAATGAAATTAAAAAATAGACTTTGAAGAAGACTAGAACATTTTACCCCAAATATTCAGGTTATTACAATGTATTTGCTCAATTATCCTCAGTTCTAATATATATAATTTTTTGGTAGAAATAGCATAAAATCTATGTGATGACACTTATCATGGAATTTAAATTTGAATGTACACAGTAAAGGCATAGTATCATTTACAGAATGCTAGGACTTATACTCATCTGAGTGATTTTTGGTACATTTCTTCACAAGGCATTCAGGTATATGGTCATATTTTGAATTTGTGTTGTTAATCTATACAGATATTATGCTTTTAGATAGAGGAATTCTTTGTATTTATACTGAGCTTTTTGAAAAATATTATTTTCCTCCTTAAAATAAAAGAGTAGCCAACAATTAACATTAATGCCCACCAGTTAAATAAAAAAAGTGTGAAAAAATATATTATTTTAGTACTTATAATTAAGTTTCTGTGTAGAATTTTTAGTACATGAATTTGAATATTCAATCTCACAGCAATGTTTTATAATATTTACAGATAAAAGCAAGTTCTTTGATTACCATGTTGAAGTCACAACGGTTCTTAGCACTCAGCACTTCATAGCTATGTGCTGAATGAATATGAATGAAAGTGCAAAGGAAAATGACTTGTAAAAAAAAAAAGAAAAGAAAGAAAATGACTTGTGATCACCTCCCCCTTCATGATTATTCCCCTAGAGTCCAATAGGGGGCGTACACACACACACACGCCCACGCACTCATTATGTGCACACTATACTATTAAACTACTTTTGTTGTATTTACTATCAACTCTGAACATAAAAAATTTTAAAGAATAGGCTTTTCAAGGGGGGATTGCCAGGATTTTTTCTGCTCTGATTCTTTTGGATAAATCATTGAATGTAAATGTTGGAATACAAGAACCAGACAGACATTTATATTTTATTAAGTTGTACACTTTTGTGGGCTCTTTTTATCCACTAAACTGTATACTCATTTGTGGCCCCAATCACATTTGCTTATTTAGTAACATATTACAAGGGCAAAGTGCAGTGTGATTCATACGTAGTGGGAACATGAAAAATAGTCATTAAATGAGTGAACGTATTCATTTCAGATTAATATGAGGGAACGAATAACTTTATTCAGGAAAAGCTAGCAATATCTTTACAATTTTTTTGTGTGTAAAAGTTTATAGTGGCTTTATCACCATATTAAATCTGTAAGTATGTAAGTACATTTTACTATTTTGTAAAGACTTGTGAGGAGTCTGAGATGTTATCCCATATGACACATGGATCAGGAGCAAAAAGTTTTAAATTAAAATTCACAACCGGATCACAGCCAGAATAACTTCTAGCATCAAACCTTAGTCTTGCAGGATATCTGATACAAACCAATGGGATTCCTCTCCATAGGTGGCAGTTAAAATCCCATAAATGAGAGAGAACAATAGATTTTCTTCATTTATATATAGGAACGAAAACTAGCAGATTCTTCCTTTCCTGAAAGGAAAGAAAAACTTTCATTCCATTAAGATGAGGTGGATAGAATCCTGTTTTCTCATATTAACCTTTAAGGATATCAGCTTGCCTTTCCAAGGGATAGACAAAGATGTCCCAGACAATGTCTCCCAATGGTGGACTTCGTCCCTTTGACATGTACTTACCAGAGGAGGTAATGCTCCAGTTGTTCTGGCAACTTGGGGCTTAACTGGGGACTTTGTGCTCTCTTTGGCCCTCTTGAGGAGATAAGAGAAGTTAACCAGACAAATGGCTACAGATTTAATTGTCAGAGTATGTGAAGAGTAAATTATTTGTGGAAGAAGTGAAAGCAAGCACTCCCTATCTTCATATTAAATACAATTTCTGTGGCTTAGAAAACCAGGGCTTTTTTCAAGAGCATTGAGAAATTTAATGAAGTTTTGTGGCCTCACGATCATAATATGGATGTTACAAAATATGTACAAATAGGCTGACAGCACCAGTTTATTTTTATAATAAAAATATTTGGATGGCTTCCCACTACTGAGTAAAATGTAATAGATAGTAGTAAATTCCACTACATAGGTAGAAAATAATGACAGAATTTCTAAAACTGTTATTATTCTTTTTTTAAATGAGAGATCTGAAGCTGGAAAAGATTTTCGGTCCTGGGAGCATTTGGTAGGTCTGGGCAAGTGGTAAGGATTGGGTCTGTGATAGGCAGAGAGAATCTTGAAGAGCGAATCTAGCCAGAATAGAACTTAGAAGAACGTGAAGCACCCAATATCACCTTTTCTTTTTCCTAGGGAATATTTACTGAATACTAGAGCATAAGGAGGAGCTAAGGAGGAAAGATAGGAGGGCAGAGCGAAGTCTCCTGCAGCATTGCAAACCTGGGGAAAGAATTCCTTCAGAATAGAGCGTAAAACAAATACTTGATAAGAACTGCCCCTGACATATTTGGAACCAGGTAGGGAGTGAGTTTAACAAAATCTTCTCTTCAGCTCTGACTCAACTCAGTTCCTGACTGAGTGACTAGAGTGAGGTGAGTAGTTCCTTTGTTGTGCCCAAAATTCCCCCAAGTAGCCCCCAGCAAACAGTCCGAGGCACACTCGGATGTAAAAAGCAAGAGGTGAGCTTTATTCTAGCCCAGGCCAGGACTCTCCTGGCATACAAGCCGAGGAAGAGCCTCGAACCCAGGGGTCTGGAAAGTTTTATAGGGTACAGAAAGCAAGAAGGGTGGGGTACATTCTTGATTGGTGATTGGTGATTACAGCAGTACAGGGAGGCTCTGGATTGGTACCGGCTGAAGGGTGGGGGATTTCCTAACTAGGGGTCCGGGGTGGTATGGAGCAACAAGGGTAAGGGTTGGGGACCTGGGGTGGTGTGGAGCAAGAGGGTGGGGTACACTCCTGATTGGCTGATCAGGATGCTTGATTTCGGGGAAAAGCCTGGGTTTGGGGGAAGCTGAAACTTATTATTTAAGATGGCAGCGAGGGCTCAAAATGAGGAACAGAACTTAGGCAGTAAACAACAAAATGGCGCTGGTCTGGCCCTCTCACCTTACCATACCTTCCGAGATGAAAAAAGGGCTACTTATTTTTTGTAGAAAATAATTCCAATTCCAGTCTATATAGAGACAAATATCCAGCATGCATTTAAAAATTATGAGACAAGTAAAGTAAAAAAATTGACAAATAATCACGGGAAAAGAAACAATCGAGAGAAGCAATAAATGATACTTTAGATGTAACCTTTAAAATAATCAATAAAAAGTCCTTAAGGAGGGCCGGGAGTGGAGGCTCACTCCTATAATCCTAGCACTTGGGAGGCCAAGGCAGGTGGATTGCCTGAGCTCACAGGTTCCGGACTAGCCTGATCCAGAGTGAGATTTCGTCTCTAAAAATAGCTGGGCATTGTGGTGGGCACCTGTAGTCCCAGCTACTTGGGAGGTTGAGGCAAGAGGATCACTTGAGCCCAAGAGTTTGAGGTTGCTGTGAGCTGTGATGCTATAGTACTCTACTGAGTCTGACAAAGTGAGACTCTCTCTCTCAAAAAAAAAGAAATCATTAAGGAAAATATAGATAGAGCAATGGAGAAATTCAATCTACAAGGAAACAGCAAAATGAGTTTTTGAATTCATAAATGCAATGTTTGAGCATTGACTGACAGCTAACATTTACACAGGAAAAAAAAAAAAAAGGAAGGTAGAAGCCAAAAAAATGACATTGTTAAAGTGTTGGATAAAATCAATTAAAAATAATAATGATGATGATGATGAAGATAACCTATCAAACTGGAATTTTATACATGATGACAATTTTCTTCAAGGTAAAAGCAAAAATAAGACATTTTAGACAAATAAAAGCTGAAGTAACAGTTTCAAAGTGTATAAGCAAAAGTTACAGGGAAAAAAATAGGTGAATAATTTAACACTTCACAGTATCTCATAGAAATAGCAGCTAAATGTAAGTCAAGATATAGATGTTAGAACAACTATCAATCAGCTTTACATAATCAAAATTCATAAAATACTACACGTAAGTACTGATGAACATACATTCTCTTCAAGTTCGTGTGAAATATTTGCCAAATTTGGTCACATCCTGGGCAGTTCAGGGCAAGCTCAATGAATTCAAAGGATTGGAATTGTGCAGAAAATACCAAGTTAAAACTTTTGTTTAGCTAAAGCAATACTGAATTTGACAGACAATGCATGTATTAGAAAAAAAGAAAGATTAAAGTTGATATATTTTCAAAGCTTGAACAAAGTGATCAATAAGCTAAAAACTCAAATCCAAGAGGTAAAAAAGAATGAGAAGACATATAATCAATAAAATCAACAAAGCAAAAAAACTGATAATCTGAAAAGATTGGATTTTTTAAAAAGCTGAAAAAATAAACAAATGGAAACAAAAACAAATAAGCGTGGATATTAAAAAGAGGACCCTGCTGTAGACTCAATAAACACTAAGTAGTTAATAAGAGGATATTATGAGAAAGTTATGGCGATACATTTTTAAATATGGATGAAATGGACAAATGTATTGGCAAACAAAACTTACTAAAATGCAAAGATAAAAATAGAAAGCCTAAAATGAAACAATTTGAAAAAAAATTGACTCCTTTTAAAATACTCTCACAAAGAAACTCAGATTCAAAAGACTTCACTGGTGACTTTTCCCAAAATTAAAGGAACAAAGAAAACCAATTTTACATCAAACCATTTAAGGGAATAGAAAATAAGGAACAATTAGTTCCCAATTCATTTTATAATGCTGCATTATCAACACCAAAACATGACAGGGCAATACAAAAAAGGGAAAATTACAGGTCAATGTCTGCCATGAACATACAATTCTAAACCAAATATCACAGCTGAGAAATACATTAAAAGAATAATTCATCATGACCAAGTGAAGTTTATCATCCCAGCATTGCAAGGTTGATTTGAAATACTAAGATCAGTCATTATGGTTCATCATATTATTGCAGTCAAGGAGAAAGAAAGTCACAATGACCTTAATTGAGACAGAAAATGCATTAATAAAACTTAGCACCTGAAATAGCGTTCTACTATTGTGCAAAAAATTATTACGAATTTGGCAACTTAAAACAATTGTTTTTGTGGATCATAATGACAGTTAACTTAGGTGGGCCCTCTTATGGATCCAGTCCAGGTGTTGACTGGAGTGTCTTCCTTTCAGAGGGCTCAAGGCCCTCTGCTTAAACTTAGATGGTTGTTAGGGGAATTGAGTTCTTGTGGCTTTGAGGCCAACTCTTCATTTTCTTCCTGACTACGCTACTCTCAGACCCTAAAGTGTGCCTGAAGTTTCTTCCACATGGACCCCTGATAGACATTCTCACAGATCTCATGACATAGTAGGTTACATCTTTAAGACTATTAGGAAAAACAAAATTTCTGACTTCTAGCCTCTCTTTTAAAGGGCTCCACAAGCCATATTTGGTCCATGAGTCATAGTTGGCTAATGCTTATGCTACAGAAATTTTATACGCAGTTGAAAAAAAGAAGTCAGAGCCTAGCTCACAAAATACACACAGAACTAACTTTGATGGTGCATAGGCCTGTGTTTACAAAATAGTAAGGTCTCGCAAGGAAAATAGGCAAATACATTCATGATATCAAGTAGGCAAAACTTCCTTAAATTGGACACAAAACAGATAAACTCTAGGAGGAAAATTTACCAAACTACATTTAAATAACTATTCAAAAGACAGCTTTATGAGATAGGAAAGGTGAGCCACAAACCAGACAAATTTACCTGTCACCCGTCTACCTAACCATTGATCTATTTGGAAAAATATCTGACAAGGATTTACTTACAGAATACACAGACGTTCTTATACATGTTTAGGAAGACCAAAAATTAACTCAATAAAATATTAGACAAAATTCTCAAACAGGCACTTCAGGAAATCGAAAATCTAAATAGCCCAGAGACATGTGAAAAGGTGGTCTTAGTTATAACTATTAGTTATTAGTGAAATGCAAATTAATAACACAATGAGATGTCATTGCCCATCCACTAGATTGGTATAAATTAAGAGGATTGATAATACCGAGCATAAGTGAGGATGTGGAGTAACTAGAACTCTTGTACTAATAATGAATGTAACAAGGGTAGAGCTACTTACATCTATCATGTCTATCCACAGGAGAATGGATAAATACACTGTGGTAGAGACACACAATGAAAATAAATAGAAATAAAATAAACTCATTACTTACATGTACCACAATATCAGAATCTTGGAAACATGATTTTGAGCTAAAGAAGCCATGTGCAAAAGAGTACATTTTTTGTAGTATTGACATTTTATTAATGTTGATTCTTTCCTCCCACACAAAACAAAAACAAGTTTATTCTAGTGAGGAGAGGTAGGAGGGAAGAGAGAAGCGGTGAGGAGTGGGCGATAGGCAGGGTCCCACCGAATGTGCACGTGTTGGAGGGTACAGTAGAGCCCCTGGGTGAAGAGCTCAACTACAACTTGAACTTTACCTTAGAAATGAAAACAATGTAACCTAAACATTTGCACCCTCACATCCACCTGAAAGTTTAAAAAAAGAGTATATTTTGTGCTATTTCATTATAATATTATAAATATCAATGACAAGAAAAAATTGATGGGTGAGGGGAGGGTGAATGTTGACAGGAAGGCAACATGGTGGACCTTCTGGGTGCAATAAATGGTTTGTATCTTTATGTAAGTGGAGATTTTACATTTTATATACACTTCATAGACAAATGTATAAATCCACAAAACTATACTCCTAAGATTAATAGACTTTACACATGTGACAATACCATAGATCCCCATAAAAAAGATGAAATCCATTTTCAGAATCCTTTATATTGCCACCGTTTGCTTTATAATTAAATACAAACAAATGCAGCCATTCGGAAGAACCAAATATAAGGGGTGAGGAAATGAAAGGAAGGAGAGGAGGAAGGATCAGATTAATAAACAAAATGCCCATCCTGAGATTCGTTGTTTCAGCACCAATTTACAAAGTCCCACTCTTCATAATGACGTTGCCTTTCTTGTAAATCTAAGTCTCAGTAGCATGTAAATTCACATTTTTTTCTTTTTTTTGTAAAATCTTTTACATACCCTTCCCATATTTCCCAAAGAACTAATTATGAACCTTTGGAGAGTGACAGTCTTCAGACATCCAAAGCAGAACAGGGACAGTGTTACCTACCACACCCTCATGAATTTAATATATTAGTATTCTCACAATTTTCTCTTGACTAATTTTATTTGACCTTGAGATTGAGGAACTGACTAGACAACATGGAAATTGGAGTTTTGTTTAGTTCATTGCTGCACGTTGATGCTGTCTCAGTTCTACCTATTTAAACTTCATGCCATCTTTGAAGTGGTAAATTGAATTCATAATTTTCCACACAGCACTGAGAGTGCTCCTTTAAGGTGTCAGGGCTGATTAGGAGGGCAAAGAACTAAATCATAAAAAGAAGTGCTCATAATTATCGCCTATTTCTTAAAGCTGGTGTTGTCACAATAATTTCTGATGCTGAGCGAACCTGCCCCCATCTTACATGGTGGAAAACAGTGGAAGTTCAGGGCAACCCCGTATGCTTTGAGAATATCAATGTGGGTAACACCTAAGAAAATTTCTTATCTTAGACCATGGAGAGTAAATGTGAGGTAAACGGGAGCAGTTGTGAAGTGTCCGATTTATGGGGCTTTTTCTATCATGTTTAGTTGTGGTCAGACACAGCCCTTCTTTTGCTTTTGCTCCACTAGGCACTTATTCACACAAACTTTATACTCTAACAATCCTCATCTGTTAAAAAGAAAAAGAAAAGAAAACGCATTCTAATTCCTCCTGAGTTAACTCTCTCGATATTTCTTAAATCCTTTAACTCTATTTTCCCTGCCTCACCTGAACAATTCCCATCATCTACTAGCTAGCCTCTCTCACTCCTGTCTCCACCCTCTTAGATCCATCACCTTCATACCATATGGGATAACGTAAACAAAAATGTGAATTTTCCCCTCTTGCTCTCCTGCTGGAAGGCACTCAATGACTTCCTCTCATCTTCCTCGCTGTTTTCTCAGTATAATTGTCCTTAGCTGCTCTCTAGCGCCCAACCTGCTTCCTTCTTAGGATCTAATTATAACCATGTTATTGTTTCATTTCACTGCTTCCTGCTGTTTCCTGGTTTGCTGCTGATGCGTTTACTGTTTCCCTTTCCCCAAATCTCTCTTCCTCCTTTTTTGGTCTGGGGTATTTATGTTCAGACATCCCACACTGCACTTCTTCCTCAACACCTTCCTCAAACCATCCAAATAAGCAAGGTGTCCCTCCTCTGACCTCCACA